ATAGAGTAAATCGAGATGCTTCACCATTCAGATTAATATAACTAATAACTGATGACGTATAATAACAGATTTAGCTACCCAGCAGGAGATAATGTAATTAAATGGGCTCCACCTTTACCAGCTGCAACATTAAAGTAATGAGCATATTGATACATCCATAATTATAATCAAATAATATACTATATATTATTCTGAAATGGTGCATTCTGCCAGTTAACTTTTGGTACTTGAAGTATATTCTGATGCCAATACTTTGTACTTTTACTCAAGATTTTGAATGCTTTTACTTGCATCAGAGTACTTTTACATTGTTATTGGTGGCGCACAAACAGATCTGCATTATCACCAGCACATCCTCACCACCTGCACATATGGACTGTGTAAATTAAAAATGTCTGGAAATAAAGCAGGACAGCTCTCGTACAATCACTACTCTCCATCCTCATCATCAGTCCTCATGATGCAGCCAAACATAAATAAAACCGACATTAAAAAATGTGTTCACCTGTCAAAACTCCATCTTCAAATGATTTCCCAGGGTGGGGGAGACCATTGACTGAAGCCATCATTTTCTTAAGACGTGAAGTACTGACTGCTGTAAACGTATAAATACTGCGTGACACTCGTGCGTAATGCTGCATGGCTGCGCTCTGGCTCTGCAGTGGAAAACGCGTGTGGAAGGATTAGAGAGTCTCAATCTAGATTCCTACAGTTGTGCTCTTGGATTTGTGTGCTGAACTGGGTCCAGCATTAGACAGACCAACCTGGCGGAATCGAGCCGTCCTGGTACAAATACAAGTAGACTATAACCACTGTTTGGCAGCAGCGGGAGCCGACAGGTGTGTGTCTGATGGGATCAACAATATATAGTGTTGTTAACATTCAACCTACAGTCTTTGTTTAGAATAATATAATTCTGTTAAACTCTCAGAAGGTTCTTTTGTTTGTGCATCAAACAATCTGTTCTTTCTAACTTCCACCTCACAAGCACCTCGATTTCTGTATGAGAAAAACTATTTTCCCATCTTTTTTGACATCCACTTTATGTCAGACCATGTTTTCTTTATTTCAGACAGTATGAGTCTCTGAGCCTGCTGCATTGACTGCCATTGTGACTCAAACGCCACTTGTTGCTGAGTTCAAACCATCAAATTAAATTAAATGTGCGCTCACTTTCACATTGATTGGGATATATAAAGGAAAGGTGTGCAGGACCTGGCGTACGCCTGGTTTCATATATGTGGATATTTCTGTGCGTACGTTGTTGTGAACAAACAGTGTGGATTTGTGCATTTTATATTGAATAAATCTGGACTACTCCAAATTCTTTTCTTTCTCCCAGGGAGAGAGAAAAGGAGGGGGTGAGATATCAATTCAACAGACGGCTGAAGAGACCCCAAAGGAGGAGGTGAAAGGTTTGCTTTCCCTAAGTGCTATTTCTGGGCAGTTCATCGTGAAACTGGCCACCTTTGGCCGCAGCCGAGATAAGCCTCAGTGCCTGACTGTTAAAATTACAAAGAAACACTCACCAGAGATTAGCTTTCTCCTGAACAGCCCATCGGAACTCTTCTTAAGAGAGGGCAGGAAACCCTCAAGTGCCCCCCACAACGTAACCATGGCAACTGACCTCCCTCTTTGTTTGATTACCTCACATCAAAGGATATTCTCCTTTTCACAGCCAGATGCAAATTTGAGGAACTCCAGGACATCAGGAGACACTGCCCTGAACTTTTTGGGTAAACAAAGAACTTTCTCCTCAAAACTCAAAAGCATTTGAGGGTTTAATTAAATCTTTTAGTTACTTGACTCTCCACTCCAGTAGTTATGTTACCATGTTGGTGTTATTTGTTGTTGGGAAAGAATCTAAATAAGTTATTTTTGCAGTGTTTACTTTTCAGCAAGGATCCCTGACCTTTATTCAATTTTTGTTGTAATCAATGCTTTATTCACAACACATTCTGACACTTCCTTTAGAATTGATGATAAAGAAATGTCATCCTATACCCGATTAATTTTCCAGCTTGAATTTAAGGTCAAATAACTAAATTCATCAGCTCCTGGGCAGAAGGTTGTTTTAAGGTGAAACAAAGCTATCGTCATGTAACCCGAGCTCCCCCAAGTGGACAAAATAAGTATTACATGCCATCGTCTGCCATCGTCCGTTTAATGTATAAATGTCACTCTGTATTTACCTGTCCATAATCTGTATCTTGCTTATATTCTCGTGTAACAGCCAATATATCCAGAAAGCTAGTTAAGGTCTCATCTGTGATTCCTATGAAATGCTAACTTTTTAAGGTCTAACTACTGACAATTGTTTTCCTTTTTATCAAGTGCTTAAAACTAAGAGCGGTACAACCATTTGACAATTAAGGTTTGATTGTGGGAAGATATTTGATTACAATATGCACCAATAGATTTTTGATTAACTTTTAATATGTCTAAAGAAAAACAGTCTCTCAGGAAACCGGAAACAAGCCCCCCCTCTGGGAAACAAAGGACTGCCCTCTGGGAACCACGCCCCAACAGACAAAAGCAGCGACACACGCTCTGTCGCTCTCTCTTGTCCTCTGCTTGTTCCTGGCTCTCCAACTGCGCTTCGGCATGTGCCCAGCATGCCCCTCTCCCGGCAACGCCCCAAGAACTTCGACCCGGCGCAGCAAAGGTTTGTTCGTTTTCAAGCTACACACGCGAAGTGCTGCGACCTCAGCTTTCCCTCGTTTCCAGCAACTTAACTTTTAACAAAACAAAACAAGTAATCAGTCCATTAAGTTACACTAGTTTAATTGAAGAACGACCAAGGTCTTGTGTCTAGAAGTACATTTGTGAGGTCAGGAACAGATGTTGGACGAGAAGGCCTGCCTCGCAGTTTGCCTCGCAGTCTCCCCTCTAATTCATATTGGGTTGGGGTCAGGACCCTGTGCAGACCAGTCAAGTTTCTCCACACCAGACCCACTCATCCATGTCTTTATGGACCTTGCTTTGTGCACTGGTGTGCAGTCATGTTGGAACAGGAAGGGGCCATCCCCAAACTGTTTCCACAAAGTCTGGCTATTGTGAAGCATAAAAGTTCCTTTCACTGGAACATGGGCCAAGCCCAGCCCCTGAAAACAACTGCACACCATAACCCCCCCTTCACCAAACTTTGCAGTCAGGCATGAACCGTTCTCCTGGCAACCGCAAAAACCCAGACTCATCCATTGGATTGCGAGAACATGTCTCCACTGCTCTAGTGGCGGCGTGCTTTACACCACTGCATCCATTTGTGTGGAATTGTTGATATTTCTGTCTGATCAAAAGTGTTTGTGTCAGTTTCAGTTTTCTTCCTCTGATGAAGAGCAGTGCGCTCGTCTCATCGAGTAGGCTACAAGTCAAATTACTTATTTATGTAGGCCTAACTGATTTTTAAAAATGGCCCAACCATCAATCGATAAAGCAGAGGCCTATACTGACATTGGGCTTATTTATATAGCACATTTAAAAAAACAAAGGTTTACAAAGTGCTGAACAAGAAATAAAACATACACTCAATTTGACCTGTGGAGGTAGCTCATTCCACAGTTTAGGGGTTGCTGCTGAAAAAGCACGGTTGCCCCTGGTTTTTAACCTGGTTTTTGGAGCGACCAGTCGAAGTTGGTCAGTAGACCTAAGTGACCGTGGGGGGGTGTAGACTTGTAAGAGGTCTGAGATGTAGTGAAGAGCCAACCCATTCAGTGACTTAAAAACAAACAACAAGATCTTAAAATGTATTCTAAAATGGGCTGATATATAGATATAAGCTAAAAAATAATAAGCTACTGATTACTGCATTACATTCTATTAGATTTTTATTTTCTGAATTTTCACCTGCCACCTAAATTTTGTCTAAGACATTTCCACCATAAATAGGTGCAGAAAATGTCTCCAGAATTCAGGTGTTTAATGCTCAAAATCTTCTGGGGGAGGACCCCTTGACCCGAATATTTCATCAATAAATATTTCTTAACTGAATTCAGATTAATTAAGCTAATTTATCATTGAGGTGTAAAGGTGCCATATGCACATTTAAAAAGACTTCAGGCATGCCTGCATGTATGTAGACTCGGCTGGGATTAAATTAAATGAGAAGTTTGATCTACAGGAGAAACATATCTGACAGCCTTACTGCATTATATTACACTATATATTCTTATTTTGAATTATCACCTGAGACATTTCCTCAATAAATTGGTGCAAAGAAATTCACCAGAATCCTGAAAATTAAGTGTTTAAAGCCCAAACTTTTCAGGGGGAGGGCCCCCAGACCCCCCCCCCAATTTAATGTATTGAGTGTTAATTATTATCAATAGTAATTATAAAATTCACAATCTCCATCAACTGCAAGATGCTATCCTATCAATATGGGCCAACATTTCTAAAGAATGCTTTCAGCACCTTGTTGAATCAATGCCATGTAGAATTAAGGAAGTTCTGAAGGTCAAACACAGTATTAGTATGGTGTTCCTAATAATCCTTTAGGTGAGTGTATATATAATTTACTGTTGCTTTATAGACATACTTTGGGTAGGCGGCAATGGAGGGTGGGGGTGTTAAAACATGAAAGATTACTGTGCTGGGCTGAGCCCCCAATGTCTCGAGGTGAACAGGGAAGCTAATCAGTGGGACACTGTGGGTGTGTCAATGCTCAACACTTCACATGACTATTTTTTTGTTCTTTACACATACTAAAGACAATTTGAGTAGTATGTTACAGAACGTAATAGGTTACAACATGAAAATCCATCAGAACTGTCCTTTAAATGCACACTTTTCGGTTTTCTAATTTATCAGGGACCATAGTGTATGGGGCTCAGTTTAGCCGCAGAAAATAATTAAAGGCACGTTACTTCATTTAAAGATAGAGACTGGCTTCTATTGAAGGATGAAACAGACACCGGGGGTTGGGTTTTAATTTACACATTTATGGAAACTCCCTAATGACACACCGTATCAGTGCATATCACTGACTGACCATCACTTACCAGAAACAGTTGACTCTATCCTGAGAGTAGTCAAACTGGACTGCAGAGCAGGCTCTCAAGTCTAGAGTTCGTATGGGCTCCACACACTGCAACGGAGACAGTCCAGATTACACATACATACTACAATCTCAGACCCTGTTGTTGTTAGTCTGATGTGATAACAAAACAGTTCAAATGTAAAAGTACAATAATTTATGACACAATGTGATGTGTGAAATGGGACACCCTGATAAGCTATCTGAAGCTTGAGAATAGGGTCTCAGCAGGTAGAATCCGCATGTGACAAATACGAGTGCATGTAATATACAGTAACATGTACAAGCTACGAACACCAGGACTACAGATACTGCCATCTGCTGGTTCCCTAGTAAATCACATTAAGCCTGTGGCAATGAACCTTGGTGTTTGGTTTGATAGTAATTTAAATTTCGAGCAGCACACCACAAAATTTGTTCAATCATGTTTTTATCAACTTAGAAATATAGCAAAAATTCGATCTATGTTAACTTTTAAGGACACCGAGACCATTTTACACGCCTTCATCTCATCACGCCTGGATTATTGCAACAGCCTTTTCACCTGTTTAACCCAAAAATCTATTGATGGACTCCAGACTGTCCAGAACTCAGCTGCCAGGCTTTTAACCAGAACAAAGAAATATGACCACATTACTCCTATTTTAGCTTCATTACACTGGCTCCCAGTATGTTTTAGAATTGACTTTAAAATTCTATTGATCACTTTTAAAGCTCTTCATGGCCTCTCGCCTTGTTATATTTCTGACCTTTTAGTCCCATACGCACCAGCACGTACCTTGAGATCCTCGGGCAGAGGTCTGCTATCTGTTCCAGAGTCTTGACTGAAAACTAAAGGGGACAGAGCGTTTGCTGTCAGGGCCCCGAGGCTCTGGAACAGCCTGCCCGAGGAAATCAGGTTGGCTGAATCAGTGAACTCTTTTAAGTCCCTTCTTAATTATAGGAGAGCCTTTCCCGATCTTATTTGACTTTATTTTATCCCTTTTATTTTATTGTATTTTACTAATTTTATATTAATTTTTCATGCTCTTGTTTGTATTATTCTTTACACTTGTTAAAGCACTTTGTAACTTGTTTTTGAAAAGTGCTCTACAAATAAGGATTATTATTATTATAATTATTATTACTAACCAAAGACCCAAGAAACTAAAAAACTACCAGACAGTTATTTCATCAGTCCAAACATTGGACAAATAGGTAAGATACAACAAAACATATGGCACATGGAAATAACAGTCCAAACTGTTGGGTTTCTGTTGATAATATCACAAAGAGTTCAGTCAAGACCTGCTCTGTATGAAAAGTGACATGAGATAACTTCTGTTATGAACTGGAACTATCTAAATAAAACTGAATTGAAGTAGCTGAAACCTAATACAACTGCTCTAGCCACACACTGTCACCAAAAGTTCAAAAGTCAAGTTGTGAAATAGCACCTGAAGAGAGACTCACCATTTTGTCTTTGAAGTATCTGAGTTCATATCTGTTGAGTGTGAACCACCTCTGTTTCCAGTTCTGCAAAAAGGTGTAAATGTGGATGTATTTTAAATATCACCTAAGTCAGGCCTGTGTCCAAACTTACAACCACATGTTTCTGAGAGTTCTGCTCCTCTACAGTCACATAACATTTTAAACTGCAATCGCAGAAGTGCAGCTGAAAACAGACTCCTGATAACAGCTGGTGGAACACCTCTGCAGTTCCTCTTACCTTCACAATTGCTCCTTGTTTGACCAGATAGCCTTCCTTTGTGCCCAGCTGAAAAAGACATGACTTGTGTTAATAGAAAAATTATTCTACAGTGAGTGAAGTAATGACTATTACAACTTGGATCTAGGCCTAAATTATCTTATTATTTATAATTATCTTGTCCATTTACTAGACTTATTCAGAGCTTTTCTGAAGTTTCTTTAAAAAGTCCAATAACTGTGATGTGGTTCATGAACGAGGTGAAAACAAGGGACTGATGCGGTGCATAGTGAAGAACGAGCATGTCGGTGGTAGCTAATGTTACGGGGAAACTGTGTGGTGACATGAAAAGTATGTGTTCCTAGTCCTTAGAAACACAGCATCTTAAGTTCTGTGCATTCAATTTATTGTGATGGAGTTGTTTTTGAACATTAAATCTCTCTAATAAAGAGAGGAATCTATGTGTGTGTTTGTATTATGTCAGTTTATCCAGTCGACTCACTCCCGGGGACGGTGCTTATAGGCTCTGATGTGGTAGTGAATTGTTGAAACAGAGTTATCGTCATCACACAGGTTTGATATACACTATATTACCAAAAGTATTAGGACATCCTTCTGAATGAGTGAATTCAAAATCTTCATTTGTGAAAGAATGACTCGCTCTCAGGAGCTCAGTGAATTCAAGCGTGGTACCGTGACAGGTTGCCATCTGTGCATCTGTCCATTCATGAAATTTCCTCACTACTAAATATTCCACAATCAACTGTTAGTGGTATTATAACAAAGTGGAAGACGCTAAGACTCACAGACACAGGCCTTCTCGTCCAACATCTGTGCCTGACCTCACAAATGTGCTTCTAGAAGAATGTTCAAAATTCCCATGAACACACTCCTAAACCTTGAGGACAGCCTTCCCAGAAGAGTTGAAGCTGTTATAGCTGCAAAGGGCGGGCCAACTCCATATTAAACCCTACGGATTAAGAATGGGATGTCACTAACCTTCACGTTGCAGGTGACCCAAAACTTTTGGAAATATAGTGTATATTAGAAATGAATGTGTTGAAACTGAGATGTAAGAGTTTTATGTTTTTCCTTAATTTCTAAGGAAGAGCTGAATATCTAGCACTCTCTCAGCAATTATCATGTTGTGTTATCAATGCTGTAGGTCAATAAGATCGATAATTTAAAAAAAAATGTTGGTTTCCCAGTTAGCTCAGTCCAGGCTTTACAGAGGTTTGTGTGTTCGATCCCCCTTGTTTTCCCTCTTCAACAAATTATCTATGAAGAGAGTGTTTCACATGCTCACAATAAAGTATGTGCGTCCTGACAATTGATCAACATCCATCAATCTCCCGTAATTAACATTAAAAAATGAAATGGATAGGTAATAATAGGTTATGACAGAATTGTGTATGGCCCAGTACCCTGACAAAGTCTAACACAGCCTCTGGTTGATTATCCATGTAGAAGACATGACATCTAGCTAGGATTGTAATTCATTCTAACATAGCCATGGTGTTACTCTAAATTCCAATATGATAGCTTGACTCTCATACAGTGGCTGTGTCACTCCTGAAGGTGTTTTTCTAAAGTTTTTCTTAAAATAATACAGTTAACCATTTTAGGAAGTCATTTTACTAGGTAATAAACTAGTAATTTGTCCATGCTATTGTAAGCAGCTTACATTAGAGCATACAAAGATATCTTGATTAAACGCACTCTCTTATTAGAGCCCCATGCACCACTTCAACATGTAAAGAAATGTAACAGTGTACGATCAACATTTAGAGAAATTGAATTGGTCACATCCCATCACAGAGGTCTCTTTGGATCACTTGGTATCAGGTGTGTGAAGCGGGTGTCATACCGACGGTGCATTTGGCACCAGATCGTTTTCTGTGCGGCCTGTCTGTATGGCTGTGTGAACTCGCACAGACTCGTAGATAGATGGCTCCTCCACACGCCGTGGGTATGGACACTTCAGCACGATGAGGGTTCCTGGTTCAGAGGCAGAGGGGAGGGTAAAGGTCAGACCACCACAGAGGAAAATCCAACACCACAGACCTGTGGGGCTTTTCTCTTTTTGAATTGGAAAATGTGAAAGATTTTAAAAACAATGCTTGTTTGTGTTGTAAGTGTTGCAACACTGCAAGTGTGTGGTAGGCAGGGCCGTAACCAGGGTTATGAAATTAGTGAGATCCAGATTTTTGGTTTCTTTAATCGAGCTTATTCACAATAATCCAGTGAAGGCTTGAAGTGGGCAGGGCTCAACACTGCGTTTGGGTAAAGAACACGCTAAATTACACAGTAGATTAAATGTATCTCAAATGTAGCTTACGACTGTCCTCACAGGCAGTGTTAGGGAGTAACTAGTCACACGTTATTTTGTTATGTAATTTAATTACAAAATAAATGTAACTTTAATCCATTATAGTTACTAAGAACAAGTGTGTATGATGTGTAATGTCATGATTACTGTGTGAATAATATCTGTAAAGATATGTTGAATATTATTTTTGTTGCTTTGCATGTTTTTCATGTGCACAGTGTCTTCCTTTACATGTGCACAGTGTCTTCCTTTACAACTTTTGCCTCAGCTGTTTAGTAAAGTTTGATGCTGTTCTGATGCTTTTAATTAGTTCCCATATTTCAATTTTCTGCACCGCCCACCTGCCAGTTCAACTGCCTCTCAAGCGGTCTTTAGAAAATGGTTAACAGTGAAAACATTCATTAGAAATGTAAATCAAATCTAAACTTCCCCCATTCAATTAATTATTTTCTCAGACTTCCACCTGCACTGGTCCTTGTAGCTGTCCAGGTGATATCTTTATTGTATAGGCTACTGGGTGTTTTCTTTAACCATTTCCTTTCATGGTTATAGAGGCTCAGCAAATACCGTGGGCAGCAAAACTAAAAACTGCAAAGCAAACTGCAGAGGAAACAGATTTTTTTAAAGTCTATCACATTATATTTTTACTTTTATTTGATAGGGTATTTTTGTACATACTGTATAATTATGAAGATGACCTCATAGCTGGTTAGGCTATGGTAGTAGGATGCGCACATTAAATGGAATATACTTGGTTTATGTTTTGGTCTGGGCTCTGTGAGAAAGGCTATAAGCTGGGAACTGAACCCAGGTCCTACAGATCAAACGTACTGGCTCTGTTGTACAACAGATTTGAGAACTTTTTGAGAACTTTTTAAGATTCATCAAATAGAGTTTCCAATTTCAATGCATCGCCATGAAACAGGAAGGTGTGTAAATGGACTGTATATGGGCAATCTATCCCAAACTACACGTTTGATAAGAATCCCACCCTGAAGACATACTGTATACATACACGATATTCAGTCAGAGCGCCACCTTACTGGCAACAGGAAATTATATGTTTTACACTCCTAGCAGGTTGATCTGATCCACCTCACATTTTGGCAGAAAAGCCTCGAGACCTTAATGATGGGGCTTGTGTTTTATTCTAACGCTGTTGCCGTGGTGAGGGATTATTTGCTATGAAACAGGAGGCTGTTGTTTGTGCCCCAGTCCCACCCTGAGGACATCTACGTGCCAATATTCAGTCATGGATCATGCCAATACTGCTGTTTTCGGAGAGGCTAATGAACACACATGTTGGATAAGTTCAATGACCACTTCAGAGCCGTGTCAGCCGGTCTCCAGTGACGAGTCAGCGAAGGTGCCTGTCCAACCCTGCTTGCAGCTTTAATCATTATTAATATTAATGTGATTACTGACACTACCCCAAACTATTGCCTGTTTCTATTTGAGCCTTTCCCACATTTGTAACACAAACTTGTGCTGGAACAAGTGAGTTCTACTATCACCACTTAGAGGCTTGACATTGCTGTGAACGCACTGAACCAGAAAGAGAGCAAACAGAGCAATATGTGGTTTTACTGTGTAAGCTGGTAACATGCAGAAAGTCTGTTAGTAAAGCTCTGCATACCTGTGTCACTGCCCAGCAGAGGCTGGTTAGCAAAGTGATTGACAAAATCTTGAAGGGTGGCAAACTCGTTAAACCCAAACACATAGCCATTGTCTTTGCGTGTCACGTGAAAATGCTTGACGGAATCCTTTGCCCTGTGTGAAATGACAAACAAACAACATTTAATGTTGCACTTTCAAAGTCATTCACATGCACAAATCTTAAGAACTTTCTACAGTGGGACCTTTGTGTACAGAGTAAGTTGAATGGTGAAATAGAGATCCAGATCAAAGAAGATTAGTATTTCTTAGATTGTTTCTTATCCTCGAAATAGCAGAGGCTTGTGACACACTTGCTTTTAACAGCACGTGCATGTAGCCAAGTGTCTCCAAGTCGAATGCCTTTTTCACCTGTGTACTTTGTGTGTAACCTCATGATTGAAAAAGTATATCCAGTGTTGGGGGATTTTGCACGATGTAAACAGAACGAAACATGATGACAGTCATTGATTACTATATGGTCAATGTTAAAATCAAGGCAGAAAAAGAAGCTGCAGCAGCAAACTTATTTAGTTTTACCTATTATCATTTTGGTTTGTTCAAAGTCTAATATTGTAATCAAATCTATCATCAGATGGAATGCACTATACTCTCTGTACTGCGCTCTCTGCACTATACCCACTGCACTGCACTCTCTGCACGGCACTATACCCACTGCACTGCGCTCTCTGCACTATACCCACTGCACTGCGCTCTCTGCACGGCACTATACCCACTGCACCGCACTATACCCACTGCACTGCACTCTCTGCACGGCACTATACCCACTGCACTGCACCCTCTGCACAGCACTATACCCACTGCACTGCACTGTCTGCACTATACCCACTGCACTGCGCTCTCTGCACGGCACTATACCCACTGCACTGCACTATACTCTCTGCACTCTCTGCGCTGCACTATACCCACTGCACTGCACTGTCTGCACTATACCCACTGCACTGCGCTCTCTGCACGGCACTATACCCACTGCACTGCACTATACTCTCTGCACTCTCTGCGCTGCACTATACCCACTGCACTGCACCCTCTGCACTGCACTATACCCACTGCACTGCACTGCGCTCTCTGCACGGCACTATACCCACTGCACTGCGCTCTCTGCACGGCACTATACCCACTGCACTGCACTCTCTGCACGGCACTATACCCACTGCACTGCACTGTCTGCACTATACCCACTGCACTGCGCTCTCTGCACGGCACTATACCCACTGCACTGCACTATACTCTCTGCACTCTCTGCGCTGCACTATACCCACTGCACTGCACCCTCTGCACTGCACTATACCCACTGCACTGCACTCTCTGCACGGCACTATACCCACTGCACTGCACTATACTCTCTGCACTGCACTATACTCTCTGCATTCTCTGCGCTGCACTATACCCACTGCACTGCACCCTCTGCACTGCACTATACCCACTGCACTATACCCACTGCACTATACCCACTGCAATGCACTATACCAACTGCACTGCACTATACTCTCTGCACTGCGCTTTCTGCCCTGCACTATATCCATTGCACTGCGCTCTCTGCACGGCACTATACCCACTGCAATGCACTATACTCTCTGAGCAAAACCTCTCTTTTTCACTTAACAAAAGAAGCCAAAGTTTATGTTAAATGTTTCTGAATCACAAGCAGCCACACAGGAACTTTTTCTAAAATGGTGATTTTAATCTGAATATCTGACCTAATTCATTAACTTCTGCCATGTTCACTCACTGGGAGCTGGAATCAGTCCGCACAGAGTCTCCATGAAGAGTAACCACATTCAACTTCTGGCTACACGTCAATTAATATCTGTGACAAATTCCTCCATAGCTTTGTGTTTTTACAGGAACCACATAAATAGCAAATAGCACTCTGCTTTCTGTTTCATGGAAACTTTGATCTTAAAGTAATCCCCGTTTTTACAAAATGTACCTGTAATCTGATTACATCTTCTTTTCTGTACTTAAAGTAACTGTATTCCGTTAATTTTTGTATCCTGACTACATAACACCTTTAAATGTAATCTGTTATTCCCCAACCCTGGTCACTCAACTGTCTAAAAGCATTTCTTTCATATAGAATGATGGTGTTACAGGCAGACTGACCTGACAGACAAGGCGAAGCAGCCTGGTCCCTCATTACCGTTTCTCAGGAGATAACTTCCATCAGTTCCATTGGACAAGAGGAGGGCCTCTGCAGCATGGCGGGACAGGTCATAATGGTACCACCTTTGACAAAATAAATAACTCAGTTCATGTTGCTACAGCAGCATGACACAACCCTTTTCTCCTCTTAATTTTTTGTGAGATGTACAGTATAATGACTGCTCTGTATGGAATGCAGACAAAAAATAGATTCATGACAAAATATTTCACACTCATTTTGTGTTTATACTATAGCAAAATACGAGGCAGACCTCTTTACTTGCCAGTAAGTGCTCATCAATACTGTGTTTTATTACGAGCTTTACGCCTTTGTAGATGGCTATACTGTAGTGCTCACTTTTACAGTCATATTCGCTGCAGTAGATAGGAGATGCTACTTCTAAATTGCCAGGAATGTTTGTGAATGTGTGACCAAATGAGGCAGACCCAAACACGGCAACCAGTTAATTTGAAAACCAGTTAGGATCTAACACTGGTTAACATCCCTGCACCTAGCCTTATCCCCTAACTAGTGTTGTGACGTTCGCAAACATTTCATTTAAAAAAACAAATCTTTTGGTTGAACAAACTGAATGGCTTCCTGAAGCAATCTGTTCATTTTAGGTCAGTTCAGTTGAGCTCTTAGTCTCATAGCGAGTGAACATGCAGTGTCATTCGTTCACAGGGACACGCTATAACGTTACATCCCTGGGATGCACTCACTAACAACTTCTTCTTCTTCTTCTTCTTCTTCGAGGTTTTGGCATCCACAATGTGGCATTACTGCCACCTTCAGCTTTCTTTCTGCTTCAGTTCATTCATCTTAGAGCAGTCTTTCCAGTCCAGATGTCCTTAAAAAAACATTTCCTGCTGTTTTGGATGAGGTTTCCTTTTACTGCGTTATCCCTGTGCTGTTGCCACAGCTGATTTACCTTTCTCCACACTGTGCCTTGTGTGTGATTTTGATCATTTAATATTGATTTTAACAATTCAATTTTTTACTGATTATTTTGCCAACTTATCTTTACAATTTATCTGCTCTTTCATTTCCATGCCATCAACATGGTTTGCCAATGAAATGCTCTCTTGCTAAATCCCACTTGGTTACTAGGCACAGCAGCTGCAGACCCTGCAGCATCTTTTTGCAGATCATTTGATCCATCTGTAAATATCTGAACACACTCTTGATATTTACTTTCCATCTAACTAATTTCTTCACTGATTAAATCTCCTGTCTTATTACAATACTTAATCTTATGTCATTCCTACATACATATCTATATACAGATTTTCTAATTCCCAAACAGGTCTAACTGGCCCCTTGCACAAAACTCTTTATCATATACTCCCATTTCTTTTGGCATTTGGTCTCCTGTCCCGCCACAGAGGGGTAAATATTCAACCCAACATGGTATGGAACATGCAAACATCCAGGTGAGAGTCCTGCAATTTACCAACTAAACTAACCAATATTAAATATTATGCTATATATTCTCACCCACCATCTAATGGATAAAAAAATTGCTCCGATTAAAAACTTACCGACTCCTGCTGTACATTTGGGGCCCAAGCACTAAAGTGCAAGGAACCTATTGTTTTTGCTGGGATTATTATTCTTCTCCCTTGGAAACGCATTTTTCAAGGCCTTAAGATAACTGCAAGGTCATGAAAGTTTGCACACACATCAGAACTGCTGAAAATTGCAGTGTTCTGTAGTGATTGAGCCTGGGCGTGGCCAGGGGGCTCAATAGCTCCCCTAAACAAACAATAGGTTTTGGACAAAGTTTCTTTGATCTTAGATGAGATGAGATGTGGTGGGATTATTGCTCTTATTACAAAGACCACATTTCTGCTTTTTTTTAAATGAGATTTTGCTTAACAGGAAGTGAGGCATATTGCACTTCCTGCGTCAATTTCAATTATTTAAACAGATATTTGAGGCCTTTAAAATGTCCAATGCAAAAAACTGGAGTTATCAATGCAAAAATCACACTGGTGACGTGTCGAAAACATCTCACAAAATTTGGTTGGGGTGCCAGTTAGTTATTCAATTCAAAGTGGCTGACTTCCAGTTGGGTTTATGGTATAACTCTCAAAAAAAACAGCTTCCTGTTGGCAAGAACATTTAACAGGAACTTTGAGCGCTCTCTCTCTCTCTCCTGTGTTGCTCTCAGGAGGCTAGAAAGAGCACATACTGGCACACTGGCATCCTCTGCAGTGGAAATCTGCATTTTTTTATTATAATGACATTAGATAAATTGTTTAAATTTAATCTTGTTACTGTTACTGTTAGTATGTTAATAATTATTTAATTTTACCATTTTATGTAATAGTATATACTATATAGGCTGGCTCACCACTTGTATTAAATTAATTGGACAAAACAGCAGTCTCATGATTTCAGTCATTAAATCCTTGTGCAAGAAAAATGGCCTTCTTAATTAGTTAATGCTACTATCTCATCAATAATCAGAACCATTCATGCAGGAGCAGGTCAAACCATTTTTATGTCCCGCCCCATCCAGGCTGTAATTGGTCAGTTGACACAAAGGGAAATTGACGAGCACATCAATATGGTGTAGTAACTAAGTGCTCGTAAATCATTGTTCCGGTTCGCACGTATCGATTTTTAGTGGCATATGTGAGCAAAATGGTGGCACTGTAGAGCCCTGTATTGTAATTTTTATTAGTTGTTATTTTTATTTCAGCTACCTATAATGTTTTTTCACATCCAGTTTTAGTTAATGTTTCAAAATAACGTTATTTTAGTTTAGTTTTAGTAAACTATAATCACCTTGCTAACTACACGATACATGTGCAATCTTTTGTTTTAAATGTTTTACCTGTTACTTTCGCTTCCAAAAAAGGAATAGACCACGTGACAAAAAACAAATGGACTGAAATTCACAGACTTTCTTCATTCTTTGTTCATAAAGGAATAAGGATAAAATGAATTGCCAAAAACGAAAAATGGCGGTTTCCATTGTTTTTTTGTTTTTAGATTCTGACACAAATCCACCAGTCACTTTGTTTGTGAGGCCACAGAAATGTTTACAAGGCTCTCATAAAGAAGAAAAGTATAGTTCTCCCTCCAGCCCTGCTCACTCACTCCGTTTGGTTTCATTGCAGTGTGCTCTTTAGCACTCAGAGCTCCCCCTGCTGACCATAAGGTGGCTTTGCGCACCAGCCGTTTCAAACCCTTCACTCAAACAGATCAACACCCACCACTCTCTGCAAGGACATCACTCTTTTAATGGACTTCTCTACATCTGGAACATACGCAAACTTCAGATTTCCCTGAAGTTTCATCCACAAAGTTGTTTATTTCCTCTAGAACTCTCCTGTGTGGTTGTGAGTCTGCAACAGAGATGCATTCAGAGAGTGCCAGCGTACACCATGTACTGTCCCTCCCCGTGTTTTACTCTGAAGGACATCCAGCATCTGTGACTGACAGTTCAGAAACATGAACATCTGTCTACTGAAAGACTGGACATAGTTTATCACTCTTATCACTACAGTCCTAAAGCCCCTCGCCAACTTACTGAAGCACTGCAGCTCCTCCAATGCCTCGTTAGAAATGAACGGGGGAACACCGGTGACCCAGGTGGATGGCACGGATACCTGCAGATAGGCGCCGTTCACAGACACACCACTCGCTATTAACTCAGCCACAAAACGCTCCTCTTTACGGAAAACTACCACACCTCTGTTCATCCTGTAGGCACAGGAGAGGTTGGCGTGTCCCACAGCCAGGTGAACCGCCTCCACTTGAACCGATGGGAGGGGCTGGACCCACACTCCATGCCTCAGAGACAGGGACTGGTCTGCCGCCCACCAAACACACACTAGCTGCATTTGATACCATTGACCATCAGATCCTATTGCAGAGACTGGAATATTTCATTGGCATTAAAGGAACCGCTCTAAGCTGGTTTAAGTCCTATTTATCAGATCGATTTCAGTTTGTACATGTTAACGATGAGTCCTCCATGCACGCCAAAGTTACTCATGGAGTTCCTCAAGGATCTGTCCTTGGACCAATCCTCTTCACTTTATATATGCTTCCTTTAGGCAATATTATCAGGAAACATTCCATAAGCTTTCATTGTTATGCAGATGATACTCAGTTATATCTATCGATCAAGCCAGATGAAACTCATCAGTTAGCTAAACTTCAAATGTGCCTTCAGGATGTTAAAACCTGGATGAGCTGTAATTTTCTTATGTTAAACTCAGATAAAACTGAAGTTATTGTTCTGGGGCCTAAGCACCTCCGTGACGCATTATCTAAAGATATAGTTTCCCTGGATGGCATCGCCTTGGCCTCCAGCACCACTGTGAGGAATCTTGGAGTTATCTTTGATCAGGACATGTCGTTTAAGTCCCACATTAAGCAAATTTCAAGGACCGCCTTTTTTCACCTACGTAATATTGCGAAAATCAGGAACATCCTGTCTAAAAATGATGCAGAAAAACTAGTCCATGCATTTGTTACTTCTAGGCTGGATTACTGCAATTCCTTATTATCAGGCTGCTCGAAAAAGTCCATTAAGACTCTTCAGCTGATCCAGAATGCTGCAGCACGTGTTCTGACAGGAACCAGGAAAAGAGATCACATTTCTCCTGTTTTAGCTTCTTTGCATTGGCTTCCAGTAAAATCCAGAATAGAATTTAAAATCATTCTTCTTACCTACAAAGCTCTTAATGGTCAGGCACCATCTTATCTTAAAGAGCTCATAGTACCTTACTACCCCACCAGAGCACTGCGCTCCCAGAATGCAGGGTTACTTGTGGTTCCTAGAGTCTCCAAAAGTAGACTAGGAGCCAGAGCGTTCAGCTATCAAGCTCCTCTCCTGTGGAACCAGGTTCCAGTTTGGGTTCAGGAGGCAGACACCATCTCCACATTTAAGAGTAGGCTTAAGACTTTCCTCTTTGATAAAGCTTATAGTTAGGGCTGGCTCAGGTAGTCCTGAACCATCCCTTAGTTATGCTGCTATAGGCCTAGACTGCCGGGGGATTTCCCATGATGCACTGAGCTCCTCTCTCCTCTACTTTCTCTCCCTCTGTATGCAACCTTATCCCATTATTGCATGTTACTAACACAACTTCTCCCCTTTCTGGTAGTCTTGTGCTTTCTCGTCCCTCTCCTCTCTCCTCCTATCACTTCCTGCAGGTTTTCTGGCTCTGGAGCTGTGGAGTCTGGATCTGTGGCTGCGGGTCGCCTGCTGCCCCCGTGTTCCTGCTCGACACCCTCTACTGCAACGACTATTGTTGCTAGTCTTATTGTTATTATAATCATTAACATTACGATGGTTACCATTAACACTATTATAAATATCTGTACCATTTTTCATTTAGTTTATAGCAACATTACCTTCGCTGTCTGTACCTCTGTGTGTATATTGTGTAGGCTGCCTCCCTCCCCTCTCTCTCTCCTTACATCCCTCTCTCTCTCTCTCTCTCTCTCTTTCTCTCTCTCTCTCTCTTTCACTCTCTTCTCTCTCTCTTTCTCTCTCTCTCTCTCTCACCCCAACCGGTCGAGGCAGATGGCCGCCCACCCTGAGCCATGGTTCTGCTCGAGGTTTCTGCCTCTTAAAAGGAAGTTTTTCCTTGCCTCTGTCGCCTAGTGCTTGCTCTTGGTGGGAACTGTTGGGCTTCTGTAAATATCATCACAGAGTACGGTCTAGACCTGCTCTTTTATGAAAAGCGCTGTGAGATAACTGTTGTTGTGATTTGGCGCTATATAAATAAAATTGAATTGAATTGAATTGAACTAGCTACACTAACACAAAGCACAACAGCTGCAAAACATTCACACAGCAAGAGAGAGGAGAAAAGTTTGAAATCACTCACAAAAATCTCAGCCACTCACCACGCTCTATACCACCAAACTCCCAGCATACACACACAGAGACAGAAAGAAGAGGTGCTGCGCGAATAGATGGGCTGCGCGCAGCTCTGCAATCAGATCCGATTTTAAATAGGCCTAGTAATAAAACAAAAATCAATATGCGGCTTATTACTAGCAGGAAAGTGTCTGTATTTTTGCCTGACGTGCACCTGCATTCTATTTGTAGGTACAATGACAAAGAACAGGCCTTCAAGAGGTTTTCAAAAAAAATTTGCATTTCCTGCAGAAAATGAGTTTCAAGGCTAAAAGCTGACACGCAAAGCACTGCTTAACGACCTAAAGCTGAACTGCACTAACTAAAGAGACTAAAAGAAGGCTAAGAAATAAGTCACTAAAAAAGCTGGAAGCTAAATTGTAATACAAAGACAAAGTTGGAAGTTCAAATGAGTTACCTGAAAAGGCTGACACTTCGCATAGCACTGCACTGCTGAAGTTGGAAGCTGACCTGCATTACCTAATAATGCTTAAAGCTACAAACTAAATATATTGCTATAAAAGCTTGAAGCTTAGCTGTAATAATGTCAAAGCTGCATTCACAAGTTCTTGAAGAAAAAGCAGTAAAAAGGTGGAATGAAGTAGAACTGTCATTAAAGAGCTGAACATTTTGACATTTGAATGGCTTGTGTAGCTGAAAGTATGCACAAGTAATAGTATCAACTAAACATCAGACTGTAAAACAAAAGAAAAGGAAACTAGTAAAGGGATGTGAAAGTTAATTATTTGCATTAAGACTTGTGTAAAAAAACACATTGATGCCCACAGATTAACAAATGGAATGGCATCTAAATAAGTTTATGTCCATATTTTAAAAGCAGTTACAGATTTATTTCCACAGTGTAAACTGTCTGGAGCTTGTACATGGAGAGCCTTGTCACCTTTGGAGTGTTTCTGCGTGTTTACTGGATTATAAAGCTCTCATAGAAGACTGTTATACTAGTACAGTCTCACCCACTGATTGAAGTCACTGATGCAATGTTGGACAGATGAGGCTACAGCAGCTCTGCAGGACTTTTCTGATTTCACATACTGGCACATGCTCAGAGAGGCCACCACCCAGGAGAATGACATCAGCCTGAGGAATATACATCATCATTGACACAATATATCAGCAAATGTGTGAGGCGAGGCAGAGACATCAGCAGAGACTGGAGAGAGACCGCAACACCAAAGATATGTGGCAGGCCATCAAAAACATCACAGGCTGCAAAAGCAGGAGCTCCCCCATCATGTGTGAGGCCACATCACCAGATGAACTTAACACCTTTTATGCTCGCTTTGATCTCCTCAACAAGGAGTCAGCTGTAAAGTCTACTCCACCTCCAGAGGACCGGCCCCTGTCAGTATCCACAGCAGATGTGAGGAGAGTCCTGCTGAGAGTGAATATGAGTAAATCAGCTGGGCCTGATAACATTCCTGGCCGTGTACTAAAAACCTGAGCCAATCCGCTAGTTGATGTTATTACTGACATTTTCAACATCTCACTGTCTCAGGAGAGGGTTCCCACCTGCTTCAAGACAGCCACCATCGTTCCTGTACCTAAAAAGTCTGTGGTGTCTAGTCTGGACTCCTCCTCCACTCTATTGCTCAACACTGGAGCCCCCAGGGCTGTGTGCTCAGCCCCCTTCTGTTTATGCTGTACACCCATGACTGCAATCCCCGACATGGAGAGAACACTTTTTCAGAGTTTGCAGACGACACTCCCCCATCATCAGCCGGATTTCAAACTACGATGAGACTTCATATCGGGAGGAAATCGACAGTTTTGCAGAGTGGTGCACAGAGAACAACCTACTTCTCAGTGTGTAGGTTAATACGCTGTAGTCTGCCCTTGTCTCTGGAAGTGGCAGCAGTGTACCAGATAGTGATGCAGTAGGTAAGGATGGACTCAATGATGGTGGTGTTCCTGAGTCGTCCAGGGGCCTCATGTATAAAAGATTGCGCAGATTTCACACTGAAAGATGGCGTACTCAGAATTTAAAAAGTACGTACGCACAGAAATATCCACATGTATGAAACCAGGCATACGCCAGGTCCTTTATCCCAATCAATGTGAAATTGAGCGCACATGCACGAGCCACATAAATTACTATGCAAATGACCATGAAAAAGAAAAGCATGACCATGAAAAGCCCTGTGAGCTACTAATTTATTGTAGGTTTTTACAGCAAGCCTTCTTACGGCTTTGAAATGTGTTTTATTTGCTCAAGTCCATTTCACACAGCCTGTCACAGCCTTTAAAATAAATGGGTTTAATTTTTCCTTATGTGAGGCTAAATAGTTTGGTAGGCCTATTGAAATTAATTGATGAGTAGCCTCAATATTGAGATTCAGTCTTTCAACAGTAATTGAGCACATTTTATGGCATGAATGGATTTTTTGTTTTGTTGCTTTTTGAAGTTAATTTAGAACAATGTTTGTAACACTTTTGAGTGTGTTAAATGAATTAAATTTAGAACAGTTTAGTTTCATCACTGCCTGATATCAGAGTCTGATGTCAATCCACACAGCTACGTGAAAAATAGAACGGAAGCTTAATAAAAGTCTGTTTTTCCCCACCAGTAGCTGAAGTTTGTCCAGTTTGTTTCACAGTGAGGAGAGAATTTCTAGGAAACCATGTGTTTAGTCCGTGCGGGCAGGGATGCAAGAAAAGTGGCAAATAATGTTACGTTCAGCTCACAGGAGAAAGGGGTTTAGGGCCCAAATACATACAAACTGGATACGGTGAGTTAGTTTTATTTAAACAAACAAGTGAACACTTAAAGGTGTGATAGTCCATAAAAAAATAGGAGAATGGGCTAGTCCATGGATCTAAATGACATGAGTCAGGCTAATTCAGAAACATGACGAAGGAGAGGTGCTGCCATGAACAGAAATGAAATAATGAATGAGAGAAAGGAATGACCAAACTAAATACACCCGGAGGGGTGAAAATAATGACACACTGGTGAAACCACTTTGACAATCAGTGAGACAGAAACAGGAAGTAAAACAAGACCATGACACCAGGGGCAGACAACTAAGAAGTAAAACGGGAAACGAGAAACACCAAACATCAACACCTCAGAACTGTGACAACTAAATCTGCTGGTTGTTTCTATGATGTTCATTAACGTTAACTTTCCCCGGTGAGAGAGCTCTGTGTGTCACACCAGAAAACTGAATCTACAACAAGACAGCACAGCGTAGCGTGCTTTCTGATGTTATTAAATTCTTATTACTCTGGCAGCAATAATAACAGCAATCTGATCTCAACTTCCTTACTTTCTGCCTAACTGTCGCTTATGTCTTCACTGATTCTTGTATCCTGTTATTAATGACTGAAAACAACTCATAAAACGCACGAGTTTTTCCGCATACATTTTCCATTTTAATCCCAGAGAAGATCCGTTTTGTTATTTATTTTAATTATTTAGACTTTTTATTTTGCATTTTTTAAAAGTTATTTGTTACATAACAATGGCCCGAATACGCCGTCGTAGTTTTGTAAAGCATACCTTTAGCAAAAAGTGCGTTTGTGACAAGGTAAGAATAACAAGAATACTTTGAATTGCCTAATTTTGGTATGGGGTCTGGCAGGTAACAGGAAAAGGTGCTCGTGACTCGTTCGCTAGCAGCTTATAGTCTTCTCTAACGTTAACTCAACGTGTATAAAACAGAACAGAGGCTTACATCAAAGTTTTAATAGTCTAGACTGTCTTACCACAAAGTCTCTAACTCGTCAGTCATGTCTTCGGTGGACGCATCACTGTAGAAACTCATCTCTCAAGAAGGACTTAGTTCAGCGAGGTGCAGCAGCCAGACAGAAGTGAAAGCTGTTCTTTCAGACACGCCTACTAGTAAGGAAATGGCATGTGTGTGCTTTCCCTCAAGCTTACGACAGGTCTGAATTTCCAAGCCTCTAAACTTTTCCAGAGGTAGAAGTAGTCACCTTGCTAGATGACTGATGACTGTCTATTTAAAAAAAACATTTTTAGGACCCGAGCGAGGTCCCTATTGAAACTGTAAGGATTTTTTTTTCTTTTCTCTGCAAAGTAAACTCAATTTTGGGGGCCTAAACATACTCGAAAACTCACCAAACCTTGCACACATGTCAGAAGTGGTGAAAAATTTCTTATTTAATGGGTTTCGCCATTGGGCGTGGCAAAATGACTCGCCTACAAAATTGGAAAAAATTAGCCCCTCTGCCACGTTCAACCTACATGTGTAACAGAGTTAAAAATAATCGCTTGTGAATTTCTACAAAATTGATATGCTTGTGTTACATTATGTAGTTTTGGAGCCACCTGGTGGGTTACGTGCCTCTAGCAAAAGGAAACACTTCCAAGCTAGATGTAGATGCATGTGAGCAACGTTGTGATCAATATTTCCATGTTTAATGTTTTAAAATTAGTTTCAATGACTCAGTAACATGTATTTTGACTGTAAGCACTACCAGCATGTAATATTAAAGTAACTGACACGTACATGCAGAAATAGTAACTTAATTCACAAGTAGCACTTTCAGTCGTAGGTTGAGCTAATGTTAGCTGGTTAGCTAATCACCTGCTTGCTAGCTCCCGACCGTGATGTTTTTATGTTTTATGTTATTTTGGATGATAATTGTTCTGTTCCTTTTCATACAGATCTGATGGTTGCAGTTGCATAACACACAGTTACTGATTGTGTGCTGTTGATTTTTTATACCAGTTAGGCTTTGTTAAATGTAGTATTCACATATTGTCATTGCGTGAAAATCTTGCAACTCCAATATTAGAATTTAATGTCGGTTGTGTGAAATGAAAACTTTTGTTGGCTTCAATGAGCTAATGTTGTTTCACATTTTATCTATGACCCATTGTGGAATTCTAGAAGGACGTGGTCAAGTGTAGAAGTAAACTTATTATTTTCATTCTTAAGATGTCGATGCAAGGTTTTTGTAATAAAAGTATAAAGTAGAGAATATGAGATGTTCTATTAATTGTCTATGGTCAAAATGTTTGGTTATGTAAGCTACTTTGTGGAGTAGAGGCTTTTATTTTGAAGTGGGGGAGAAACGGAAGTTGTGATGCTGTTCCGGTTCAACAATGTGCAAGAGACGAAAAAAAAGAATAATAAAGATGTCCCGTCTTGGTTCAGACAACGGAACCTCCGTGTTGTTATTTTGGTAGTCACATCAAACGTGTAGGCGAACTTATAACCGCTCGGTTACATTGGTGGCAGCGGTGGCCGTTTTGCTATGACGTCCGCCGAAGACAAAGTGTAGTTTGTGAGACTGTCGAGGTAGTTTCTGAAAGTTTCAGTTAGTTAGCTCATGTTAGCCACTGCTAACACGCTTAGCTTCACGTTGTACAGTATTAGGCTAGCACGAGTCGGGGAGTTCATGCCGCGGTTTCGCCAGGCGGTTGTAGTAAGTAGTGAGGGTAGGCAGGAATTACATGCATGAAGACAATAACACGCGGCAAGATGTGGAAGTATGACGAGGACCCCCTGGACTGCGGAGAGCGGCGTAGGGAAAGGCCATTCGCAGGCAATGTGAGGATTGAACTGCCGCCGCCCTTCGCGGGAGAGGAGAAACAAAGCTTTCCCTGGGCCAGGCAATATGAGGTCGCTGTGAAGGCGCTGGTCGGCGGCGTTGGAGGTGACTGTGATTACGAACTGGCGAGGATTTTGCCGACGCGACTGACCAAAGCTGCTTTTCTCTTGTGGGATAGCCTGCCAGCGGCTGTTCAGGCCGACTATCCTGCAGTGAAGAAGAGGTTGCAGGAAGCATTTGGACAAAGACATTTTCTGGATTGTTTTCGGGCTAACCTCTCTGCTCGTCCACGTGCTTCAGGTGAGAGTTTGGAATTATATGCAGCAGAAATAAGCAAGCTAGTTCAAGAAGCGTTCCCTGGCTATGGTGACATAGCTCAGAAGGAGGAGAAATTTCGCAGGTTTCTGGCTGGACTTGATCCGACTTTGAGGGCCAGATGTCACGAACAGGGGGGGGTGCAGCTGCTATGGTGCACTCCATATCGGATGGAGGTGGTTTGTACAGAGCTATGGACAGACTTCATGAGGAAATGAGAGAGTTGAGGATGGAAATGAGACATCTGGCAGAGGAAAATAACCGACTGAGATCCAGTGATGGGAGAGGCAGGCTGAGAACCTCCTCACCAGGACGAGAAGGTCAGTGTCAGTGTGCTTGTGGGGAGCAGGGCTGCCAGTTACGCTGCCCCAGAGATGATCGGAGAGGGCGTTTACCTGACCGCGGCTGGCGCGAACGGAGAGCTGTGTGGGGACCCGAGGAAAGGTGGGATGCCCGGGTGCCCTGCAATAACCGAGCAGCCTCTCCGACGCGGCGGAGTCCCCAATCGGCTAGGGGTCCTTTTGATGAGGAACCACAGAGGAGGCGTGGAGTGCGTTTTCTCTCCCCCAAGAGGGAAGACCCAGCCAACCAGTCGGGAAAAGAGATGTAGCTGATGTTGCGGCCCAAACACCAGCTACCGTATCTACGGGCCCAATGGTGAGTGAAATATTTGTCCCCTCTACAAGCAATGCTCAGATGCGGGGCACAACAGAGCAGCGGCACACCTCATACGTGAGGGGAAACATTGAAGGCATGGAAGTCAACATGTTGGTGGACTCAGGATCAACAGAGTCATTCATCAGTGCAGAGTTGCGCATGGCTGTTCCGGCACTGCGTAGGCGGCCTTTGAACGCTGACTTTATTGCTGCTCGTGCTGTAAATGGCCAGATGCTCGACACCTTGGGCACTGTAACCGCTACTCTGCACCTGGGAGGTGAATCTTGGCAGCAGGTGTTCTATGTGCTTAGAGAGTCCACACAAGCGGGACTATTAGGCCTGGACTTTCTCGCCTCCAACCACGCCCTTTTGGATTTTGCTCGAGGCAGACTGCTACTGAAAGACACTGTAATTCCCCTTCTGAGTGCCAAAGATTTGATCCCTGAGTGTTGTAACGTTTCTATTGCAACTGCTGTGACATTGCCCCCCCTCAGCGAGAAGCTGGTGCCCGTGACTGTATCCCCGCCCGGGCCTGTGGATCAGCTCCCTGACTTTGTGGGCTACTTGGCGCCCAACCTCCAGACTAAAAGTGAGTGTGTGGTGGCTCACACAGTGACAGTGGTGAAGGACGGGGTGACCACAGCCCGCGTGTTGAATCCTACTGATAAGGACGTTATACTGCGTGAAGGCATGCATTTGGGGGAATTTTTTTCGGTGGACGACTCAGAGCTGGTTTCGCCCCCGGTGGTCCCGATGGAGACTGCCCCGGCTGTTCCGCCGACTGGGGTGCCCTTGGTGTCGCTGGAAGAATCTTCGGCCGGTCTGCAACAGAGGGCGCTACTAGTGTCGTTGCTGGCGGAATACAAGGGGATATTTAGCACTTCAAATGGGGTGCCTGGCAAATGCACACTCGTCAGACATCACATTAAAACGGGTGATCACCCTCCCCTGCGTCAGCGTGCATACCGGACCTCGCCAGAGAAGAGGGAAGAGATGGACCGCCAGGTGGCAGCCTTGTTAGCCAATGGGGTTATTGAGGAGAGCTGCAGTCCCTGGGCCTCACCTGTCGTCCTAGTAAGAAAGAAAAATGGTGAGTGGAGATTTTGCATTGATTACCGCCGCCTGAACTGCATCACTATTAAAGACTCTCACCCCCTCCCCAGAGTGGATGATACCTTGGATGCGTTGGCAGGCTCCCGGTGGTTCAGCACCCTGGATTTCTCAAACGGCTACTGGCAGGTTGAGGTCGCGGAAGAAGACCGGGAGAAAACGGCATTCACGACAGGCAGGGGCCTGTACCAGTGGCGTTCGATGCCCATGGGCCTCACTAACTCACCTGCGACGTTTCAACGCATGATGGAGCTGGTGCTCCGGGGGCTTCCATGGCAAGTGTGCATGGTGTATCTTGACGATGTACTGATATACAGCCCCACATTTGAGGACCACCTCTCCACTCTCCGTGAGGTCTTCTCCAGGATTCAGGTGGCTGGCCTCAGGTTGAATCCTACGAAGTGCCATCTGGCTCGGGATCATGTGGTTTTCCTGGGCCATGTTGTCTCTCGCCATGGCCTGCAGCCAGACCCCCGGAACACGGACAAAGTCAGGACCTGGCCCACACCGCGGAATCCGACTGAAGTGCAGGCATTTGTGGGGCTTTGCTCTTACTACAGACGTTTTGTCAAGGACTTTGCCAAGCAGGCTGCCCCCTTGCACCGCCTGACGTGTAAAGACACTCATTTCCAATGGACTGCGGAATGTGATGCTGCATTTGAGTACCTGAAAAGGGTGCTCTCATCGGCCCCAGTGGTTACTATGCCTGACTTCCGCATCCCCTTTAAGGTGTACACGGACGCCTCCACAGATGCAGTGGGGGCTGTGCTGGCTCAAGACAGGGATGGACTGGAACGTGTGGTGGTCTATGTGAGTCAGTCGCTCACTCACACTGAAAAGCGCTGGTCCACATTCGACAGAGAATTGTGGGCTGTTGTGTGGGCTGTACGCCAATTCAGGCACTACATTGGGTCGGCCGCATTCACCATTATAACAGATCATAAGCCTCTGCTGGGGCTCCGCAAAATGTCTATTGACAAGGATCCCACAGGCAGAAGAGCGAGATGGATACTGGAGCTGGATCCTTTTAACTGGGCCATACAACACAGGGATGGTCAACGACATACTAACGCCGATGCTCTGTCACGGCGGCCCCCAGATCCCGAGCCCGGAGCAGTTAGCGGCACTCCAAGGGGGCGGCCACCCAGGTGAATGCCATAGACTCGGATGGGGAGTCTGGTGCCCACCACAATGTCACGCTGCAGTCTCAGCCGCAAGCTCTGTGTCCCCAGATTTCAGACCTCGCTACTG